AACATGTGCTGTGACAACAGCTGGATAACAAGCACTAACGATCGCAATTCTCCCAGTATGAGCTGAGCACTGGGTGAGGTCAGAAATACCCATTTTCCTATGAATAAACCAGGGCTGATGCCACCATGCCGAGGCTGGTGGGGTTCGATCCCAGGTCCCTTCTGCATAGATGCTTGCGAGCCCAGCACACGTGTATCCAGACGGCGTTCCGCGTTAGAGATAAAGCTACAAATACAACATTGCGAAAGAGGATTTCCCTGTTGTTAAAATCTGCTCCTCCAAGCTGCTGTCCCCAGTGTGACCAGCAACCGTGTGCCTTTTAAGTCATTTCTGACTCAGTTACAACCTAGCATATCGGCATGGTTGGGAGACCTCCTAAATGCTTTAATGCAACTTTGGCAGCCAAAATCCAAGTGAAAATACCAGCAACCTGGATGCACCTATTATTTTCTTCAGCTGCTTTGAAAAACCACAGCAAGCAATACTGCACAAGAAAAGCACTGAGTAATGGGGTATTCTGCGAGGAAAAAACCCTATCCAGACCATTCCAGCTCCAAAAGAATATACGTCAAATTTTTCAGTCAATGATTGTAAAAATTAAGACTCGCTGCTGATAGGGCTGAGGGGATGATGTGAACCGCGTAGTTATTACTGCTGCGACAGCACCCCCGTGAGCCAGGCCCACTGCGCAAATGCTATGTCAGGATGCGTTAACGTGCCGGAGATGCACATCTGGGAACCTCTCTCAGCTTGTTTTTGCCCTTGCTATCACTTGTACATCTCCACCGCTGCTCGCTATGGGAGCAGACTCTTGTCTCGCTGAGCTTTCTGATCTGGACCACCACCAGATCACAGCTCTTCCCTCTCCTCCAGCCACAGTAACCGCACTGGTACCTCCCCGACTGCAGAGGACACAGAAATAAATCTGTCTTTGAGCAAACTTCTGCCCCTTACCTTAAAGTGGCTGCACTGTCCTCCCAGCTGTTTTGACAGGTTCACTACATTGCTACAAACAGCGGAGAAAGCTGTTAGCCAAACAGAAGGGTGGATAGATCATTTCTTAGTTATTATTTTCCAGAAAGTTCTGAAGTCCATTTCTTTCAAGCACAAACCAAAGGAAGAATAAAGATGTTAAAATAATCCTGTACTGGGCATCTTATTGCATGGCATAGAGCCAGTTCAAAACGAACTCTTCGGCTGCTGTTTATTGAATCCTAAAGCTAATTTATTTTATCTTGTCCTATCAAAACTTGTAAACTATAAATATTATTAAGTAAATTATATCCTGATGCTACACGAGTGAAGTTTTACACTGGCTTTACTTACAGCGGGTCTGCATGAACAGCCCCATGCAGACCCCATGGTCATGTGCAGCTTTATTTGTGCAAGAGATGGACCTGACCCCTCTCCATACCATGAAAACTTGCTTTGATGCGGCTGCTGCAGCCTACACCATTAGAGCATGCCTGAAAAGCGAGAGAGGTTTCTGTGGCAAGGGACAGCAACTGCAAGAGGCAGAGAGAGGTCTGTTGTGCAAAGAGCATCTTCTCCCCTCCGTGTGAAGCAGCCTTTGCAGACACAGAAATCTTTTAGATTAGGTCATTAAACAATTATAAGAAAACAACTGGTTTAGATATCCAGCCTCTCCATCTAATGCTCTGCTTTAAATCATATTGATAAAAAAAAAAAAAAAGACAAAAAAAGACATAAAGCCCAACAACAGGTGTAAGCACTGCTGGCCTCCTAAAGAGCTCCTGCTCTCCCACAGCTCTGTGCTCGCCTGGCCCTTCCTTACTACGGAAGGCCGGCAAGGAGCGGGGTCAGCACTCCCCTTTTCCTGCCTCAGCGGATGAGCACTAAAATGCGTAATGGAAGAATTAATCTGTACAAGGAGCTTTGCAGTGCAGCACACTCTGTTCCTCTTGCACAGACTGGAGGTAAATCTTGTTTTTACTCCAACACAGGGTACGTGCCAGCTTTCAGGTTTTAATAACTTTCTACAGTTACTCTTTGCAGCCAGCAAAGCCAAACCGTACAACAGAGTGACTCTTCCAGCAAAGTACAACCAGGTCTGGCAACACATACTGCCATTTAGCAGCATTCAGCAATTCAACAATGCTATTTAAGACAAAGAGTACACGTTATACCCCATCAGCTCTCAAACTCTAGTAAATAACATTAAAATAAGCTAAAATGCGTTAAATACTGCCTCACTATACAGGCAATCAGTAATTATGAGAGGCATGGTCTACAATACACATAGGAGCAGAATTCATCCTAAACATCACAGATACCTGAGGAGCCACTTGCTTTGCAATCTCTGATGTGCCATAGGGGTTTCCTACCTTCAGTCAAAGGGTGGGGTGGGGAAGAGAAAGAACAGGACAGGATTAAATTTAAATCTCCTAAATTGAGCCAAGGACAGAATTATCCATGATAGAACTTGGCTAAGACAGACAATCCTCTCTGCTGCTTTTGTAACCATCTCTCCCTTTCGCTCCTCCTTTCTTCCCTCAAAAATAGTATTTAAGGTATGTTTTTCACTTCAAGATGAAAATATTTGCTGTTAAGGTTCTCTAGAAGTGAATTGACACAATTTTTTGGCTGGAACATGCAGTTACATACTGACAACACAGCGGAAATGCAACGGCAATCCCAAAGTCGAGGCTTTCATTGCAAGTAGTTGCACATAGAGCTTCTTGTGCCACACCACCTCATCTTCTGCCTCCATGTCTATCTCCAGCTTCAAATGACAAAACTGTGTCGATTAGAAATCACCTTTGTCTAAAAGAACACTTGTAATGTTTTGTGCTGTTTGTCACAGAAATGTGTGATTAGCTCTCCTCCTACTATTTTTTCCCAGGGAAATGACCTAACTCCAGAGCCAGAGTAGCTGAATCATATAGCTTCAAGAGGTGTACGCATTTGCTTGCGAGTGCAACATCAGGAAATAATCATTTATGTAAGTATATTTTAATAGAGTAAAAATATTGTATTTTGTTTTTATTTCTGGACAGTATTTATCTCCATGGGTGACTTACAACTTTAGTACCAAGGTTAGAAATATCATCTTTCATAGTTTGCTTTGATAAATTATGCTTTTTTAATCTCAACGATACACTCATATGCCTTTGAAGCCTGAAATAATTTTAGCAATTCTAACAGAAATGTCATCATCTGTTCAAACTGCGCCTAAGAAAACTTAGGTGGAGGTACCAACTGCAAGATGAACATTTGCCTGCTGATTGAACAAACGACTGAACAATTCCTCAACCATCTCTAGTTTGGCTCAGTCATGCGAGGTTAAATAGACTTTCAGTTAATTCAGTCTAATATCCAAATCAATACTGCAGAATGCAGGAACAAAAAAAGTTTTAAATACCACAGGTCTATAACTTAAAAGGAGACTGAAGATGCTCTCAGCTTCAATAGCTTTTGTTTTCATCCCTTTATGAAACTTGTTACAGTGAAACACCGGTCACCAGAGCCAAGTAGAGAGTTTAGTGCAAAATGTCTTTTCCAGGTTTAATAGTAACCCAGACACAGCCAAGGCCAGCACTCTTGTCTACACAGATGTTCTGTATTCAGCTTTTTTTCAAAAATTAGATACTTCTTTATCCCTTTGAAACCACACTGTAGGCAGGTATTTTTTCACTAGATAGCCAGCAGGCACGCACTTTCTTCTTACAGGTAGAACCACCAGAAAAATCTTCCTGTAGCATGAAGGAATTGCTCCTTCATGTCACACACCAGAAAAACCCGAGACACTCAACTAAAGCTTCTAGCAGGCACGCAGCTTTCAGCCAAAGTGGCATGAGAACCACTTTGCATTTGTGTCAAGCCAACAGCCTCTCAGCTTCCCCACAATGATTCTGACAGCAGGACTTTCGACATCATGAATTTCAAAGTCAGGTAGCTTATCAAGAGCTATACTACTGATTCTGATTTTCTTATTAAGAACACCAAAAAGACAGCAGACTATCGTTCCACAGGATAACTCAAACTTTCAATAAAGTTATCAGAATTGTGATTGTTTCTTTTCCAGTGGTGAGGTCTACAGTCTTTCATTAAATTTCATGTAATCTATCAAAGTATAATTACAGCTCATTATGCTTTTTCATTCTTACTTGTCATATGCAAATCCCATTTAGACTGAAAAGCATTCAGCATTGAGTTAAGAGCATTTTTCTCGTATACAGATACTCCCAATACTCTTAAAAGAAGCAGTCAGCATAGAGGTTTTTATTCTTGTTCAAAACACAGCATTATCTGCAGAGTTGCATTACAGTTTTATACTTAGAACTGACTCAACTGAGACCCAAAAAAGGGTGTCATTTAGCAATTCAGTAACAGCAGCACTTAATTATTTTCCCAGACATTCTTGGCGTTAAACTACTGTGGAATTTCTCAATACTTCAAATATAAAACTGTTCTTCAGAACAATCCTACTGAAAACTTAATGATAGACACAGCAGGATTTATTTGAATTTTATGGCCTAGGACTACTGAACAAAACTATGCAAAAAACATATACACTTAAATTATCTGTGACAACAGTTACAACCTTTATGGTTTATGGTCAGAAAAGCATCTGGGAAGAAAAGTGGAAAAATAAAGCACAGTTTTGAGAGGGCATACCATTTCTGAAGCATAAGGTAGTGCTTCCCGTCTGCAGGGGAACATGGCCTGAATTGACATATTCTCACAGGGAACAGGGTTACAGAACTTCATCTATTTCTGCGTAGCAAGTCCATTTTCTTGAAGCAGCTTGAGGTACTCAGCTTGAAAAAGCAAGAGGTTATATTCCTCCTATCTACCCAGTATCTGCCTTCAAAATTTTCAAGATGCAAAATAGGCAGATTCAAGAAGGCAGCATGCCTACTCACCGGTAATGTACATTCTAGCAGTTCAGAAATCTCACCACCATATATTTGGAGCAATACCGTATCATTCTGTGCCACAAACATATTTGAAGTTGAAAGAAAACGATGTCAAAAATCTTGTTCTTTATTAATTATTTTAATGAACCAAATATGAAGTGACATAAACACAGGTCAAGGAAAATAACATGAAACCAGCCCCACCAGCTGCTGACAGAAGGTAAGGATAGAATAATAATTAAGGACGATTTGAGGGAAAGCAAGAACACATAGTGAGAGATACTCATTCTTGCCAAGAATGTCAACCGAATCATATAATACTTAAAATTTCATGTCAAGTGCTTAAATAAGGTCTCTGCTTTGTTTCTTAACACAGTGAGTCCACAGAAGAGTAGGGAATGGGCTATCGCTGAATTCATGGCAACAGGTCCTATAGAGTATATTCCAAATTTCTCCAAATAATGGAGATGGAGGTGACTAAAAAGAAAGAGAAATAGAGAAAGTGAGGACCCTTTGTTACCCAGTCTGGCCTCAGAAATGGAATGTGTTTTCTAGACCCCATAATCTTTGGCACAGGTTCCTTTTTCAATGTCTGCGCGAATGCTTTAATCCCATGACTGTGAAGGTTGCAGCAGTCAGTTTCTCATACACTAGAAACATAAGAGCAGCAGTAAGGACTGTCTGCAGGAGCTTTGCTTCAAGGCCTTTGTAGAGTCCCATTAATCCAAAACGCCTAAGGAGGGGAAAAAAACCAAACAAGAATACAAGTGTGAATAGCATTCTGTAAGTAAATCAGTACACTACAAAGAAGAATTAATATCACAAGTTAATGATAACTGTAAGACTCAAAATTAATTCTTGACCTCTTTAGTGCCAGCTATGTTTAATAATATCTTAAAGAGAAAATTCTGCAGAAAGCCAAGTCTTTCGTGCAAGAAATTTGCTTCAAGATGAGAGATGAATGAATTGATATCCATATATATACTTGATGCCACTTACTGTACAGATATTTAGGAGAATTTGGTTTTGGGTACTTACCCTGCAATATGTTACAAAACCCAGGTTGACTCAAATGGAAAGTTTAAGGGAGGCAAAAAGAAACAAAAGCAAGGTCCAACAACATTTTCAACATATTAGGAATATTCAAGTCTTCTATATCATCTTAGGAAAAAAACCCCCAACAACAGAAACCTCACCTCACTCTCTGTTGGAGAAGGTAAAGAACATTTCGAAGACTGCCTAGTGTTCGGTTCTCTGGGTTCAACCTGTGGCGTCCAAACTGAAAAAAAGGAAGAGCATTTTGCTGTACTATTTCCCCATGGTGCTAGGCAGAGAACCCAGCACATACAAAAAAATCTGGAGAGCCCTCTTAACATTTTCCAGGTTATACTAGCCATCAGTGAAGAACTGAGGCCACAGCTCACACTACTGAACTTCATACAGCAAGCATTAAAATGGTACGTGCTACAATAATTTTTTTTTCTTTTAAGATGGGATTCTAAGAAAGTGTTACACATGGCCTTATTTACCCTCTTTCAGTTGCTCTGGAGGAAACAGTTTTCAAGATCTCAAAAGGATAAATTGCAGAGTCAAATTTACATTGATAGGACATTCAAAGCAAGTTCTTTCTGGCTTGCTTAGCCTCTCATTTAACAAAGATTCAAAGCCTCATACATGTACAAATCATTATTACACTGAGATTCTATAGCTGAACCCAAAATTTATCTGCCCAGTAAGGGTTTTGGAACAAAACATTTACATGTGAACTGCTGTGGAAGAATCCAAGATTGTTTGATCCACCTACCTGGCCTAAATACTTCTCTTTTACTCACTGCATTTGCTTATCCTCAAACTGTTTTTCAGTAGGCATGATAGCTGCTGTTGTAATTTTATGTCTCAGAGTTAAACCAGCAATTTCAGCAACTCCTTTTCATTGATACGCCTATCTGATATGGGTCAATAGTACTGTCAGCAAGCTGTAACTATGAATGCTAATATACAAAGGTTGCACTTATAACAAGACAGCCAAAGAGCTTTTGAAGCCTGTATTATGCTTCTGTGCTAAGGTGAACTTCAGCAACTACCTGTGGATGAGCTTCTTTCAGAACTTACTCAGGCAACCGCTACTTCTTACACGTAAAAAATAAGCATTGATGGTAGACAGAGTATGCAAGCAGATTTAGGCAGTTCAGAAATTACAAGAAAATGCCAGGATGACACAGGTTCCTTTGCTATATATGTCTTAAGAACTCTGATGGAAACAGCAGCAACAGAATGTTATTGGAAATCTCCCTTTTTTAGGCAAATACATGCTCACAATCCACAGTCTTCTCATCAGCAACTAAACCATTTGATATTGATAAATCAATGTTAAGGATTATTGTGAGAGTCTCAGACACACCCCCAAAAAATTGCTAACTAGGTTCCAAGTTACAATGCCAAACACTGCCCTGATTACTCATAGGCTTTCAAACTACACCAGGATCAGGTGCTTCCTTCTCCTCTTTTTTCCACCATCAGACTAGTTTTGTACTGCAAACAAAGGTTCATTAAGGCAGGAAAAAAGTTAATTTCTCCTTAGGATGTCAATATTTCACTGATTACTGCAGAAGATTTCCCAAAGGCACTAGCATTCTCTAGACTACAGAAAAGAGCCTTGACTTTTAAAGAGAACTTTTTCACCCAGGATCACTAAGAACATTAACAGTATTGCTGTTTCTCCAAATGCAAATTTAATTTATCCGCTGTTTACTGACACATAGGCTAAAGAACAGTTTCACTGCATAATGAGTAACACCAGTGCCATGTATTTTTGCTGACTGAAAAGGTGATTTACTGATTGAAAGGGAGATAAGGCATACCAAATGGCCAGGCTGGAAGCTGCTTACCACTGTCAATTACACAGGATAACTGTTCATTATATGGAAGCAAGAAGAGCGCTTTGCCAAAAAGTTGAAAACAAAGGTGCAGAGACTTCCTTACAAAGAACTCTAATAACTTTCAAACAATAGTAAGTTTCTAAAGGTTTATAGTTGAAAAGAGTCCTATACTTCTACTTTGATGATAGAACTTAACTATGATGTGTAAGCTTTTATGAATTCTATCAAGCTTGTATTAGCTTGTGTGTAAATGTGCTAAAATTGTTTCAAAAAAACCCCAAAACTATACAAAGTATACTTCATGCAGAGTGTTATTTCTGAAAACAAACCTTTATTCATAACTTTTTTTTTTAATATCACTTAATGTGAGTGACAAAAACTTCATCAATGATAGCTTTAGATTAGAAAACACATTCTGAAGTAGTGCAAGCACTGGACAGCACAGGTATCACAGATGCATGTTTTTTCTGTTCTTGCCACAAGCGTTCAGGGTTCCTGGCTATTACTTCTTTCATAAGGCAAAGGGAAAAAAGTCACCCCTAGTGACTGCAGAACTAGAGCTAGGGTCCTTGTATTCCCCATCATCACAGGAAGAGGATGGACTGGCATTGAGAAGTGGCATATAGGCCACTTTATTTCACAGTGGGCCACTATGAGAAGAATCTCACCACCTCCATGACACTGATAGCTAGTGAACTAGCTGACTTCAGCTGAGGTGAGCAGTAAGCACCAGCTGGTCAGTACATCAAGCTGGCAGCACAACTTACCATAGCTGCCCTTTTTGTTAAAGAACAACACTGTCACCAAGCGACAGAGGAATTTTGTTCAAAAAGCCAAGAGGAGACAGACAAAACATGAAATAATAGTCACAAGATTGTAACCTTTTCCACAGCAACCGTGGAAAGGAAAGAGGATTGAAGCTGTTATATTGATGTAGCCCCATGAAAACTGCACTACTGTGCAATGCTAAGGCTAAAATAGAGCACTCCAACTTTCCTTCCGCTTCTCCTTCACACCAGCAGAAACACATCACAAATTAAAACCAGACTGATGTTGCAACTTATCCAAACAAAGCTATATTTGTTTAAATGATTTTCTGTAACTGTCACTTCAGTAATAGAAGCCTGTGTTACTAGTTTAATTCCTGAGATATGTCGAGGCTGTTAAAACAGGGTAAGACATCAAATGAAGTCACTAGCTCAGTTGATAATCAAAAGTTGTGAAAACGTCAGAAAAGATGACAGCTGACAAAACTACAATGTGGCTGACATACCTACAATGCAGATACCATTTTGTGCACCATTAGGGCAGTGAAGTAGAAAGCTGTGCAGACACAAAAGTTTTATTTCATGTCTTTTCAGGGTAGCAGCAACCACACAATAAAAATGTTCAGGTCCTGTTGGTTTGAAATATAGCATTCAAACTATATTTTTACAGGCTATCAAAAATCAAAATACATGTAATTCACTCTAATTAGCGAGAAGAAAAACTAAAATAATTACAAAACTTGCACAAAAAATCACTTTTTCCACATGAACAATTAAGAAGAATAATCCCTTATTAGACAAGTCTGAAAAGTGGTATCCTTAGCATGGAAGGTTCACGTTCAGTCATTCAACTAATTCTCCAAATTCATATGTTTTTTAAAACATATATAATGCCTTTACCATACACACAAGTTAGGGCTTCTCCTTACTTAGGAAAATAGCTTTATATTTCATGTGGAAACATTTATTAATATTTAACTGTTATAAAAATCATCAACAAACAACTTAAAAAAATACATTAAAAAGCACAGAAATTAAAGTACAGAAATGCTTGCTTATGTGTGGCCAGTTCTCTTCGCATCCCCCTCAACTTAGTCTTGTTTTCAGTATTACAACACTATTGGTACATACTGAAGGTAGCAGCACTATCCAGCATACATACAAATTGCAAGTGAGAATAAATGCAAATGTTTCCATTACCAACAAGGTATTATTTACAAGGGAGCTCAGCTTCCCCTGATGAGTCACTTTCTGGCTACTGACAAGGTCAGGCCATCACCTGAATAAAACAAAACCTATGAATAGAACTCTTTTGGATTACCCTAGGTCATCTGGAAACAAACTGGGTTTAGAGGATTTAATTTTAACTTCCCACTTGACACATTTTCTATTTATATTCAAAGAAGTAAATCTACATTTTTGTAGTGCCTGAAAGCAGTATGGTGCATCAGCTCCTGTGAGACACCGTACTGATGCATTAAGTTGTCAAACCTACCAGCTATTGGAAACACATGTGCACCTGTACTACTAAAGTTCTATCAGAATCTGTCAGCACAGGCTCAAAGAAGAGAGGCATCCTTATCAGTGACCTGCACTGTGCAAAAGGAGCTCCCAAAATGATAAGTTCATTAACACAAAGAAAAAACAAGACATATGAACAAGGCTTACATTATACAAAAGTTAGAGGCAATTACCCTGAAATAAAATTATTACTTACCCGCAGAATTGACTGTACCGTCTGCAGAGGATAAGTGAGGGTGGTAGCAACTGCTTTGGCTACTGCACCAATGACAAAAGCATCCAAAGATGTGAGCTGTTCAATAGATAAAGAACATATTACTTCCACGTAGTACCAAAACAGCCAGTTACCTGTGTGTGTTTGGGGATTCTCTACTGGTACCTGGTACCAGATTATCCAAGTATCTTTAGCATAAAGATTTCATGAAGTCTCTGGGTCTTCTCATTTTAAAGAGTTAGTTATAGTTCCACCAGCTTAATTTCCCACAACTAAAGTTTATTTGTAACTTCTACCTGCTCACAAGCTTTTGCATTTCTCACTATAACTGGGCTACTAAAACATAGTGGAAATAAAGCCATACGACTAGACCAATTTAAAGCACCGAGAGCAGACAAAAGATAGGGAACTAGCATTTAAACATACCATCACTCAATGAGCATTTCAGCTTTTGCAACTTTTAAACTAACAAGTCAGGTGGCACTTGTGAAAAAGGTGACAGGGAGAGTCTCCTTGAACATCGCTCTATAATCCTGAGGCATAATTACTACACTATCAGGGAGAATTTTAGTCGTGATGACATAGGCTAAAAATCTCACCCTCTGTTAGTTAAGAACACCTGCGGAAAGCCCATCCTCACCTCCAAAGCCCACAATGTTCCATGATGCACCAAATACACTGTTACAGCCTAAGCTGATTACAGTACATCTCAGTCTAACAGTGTGAGTTAACCACTGAAAATAAGTAGGTGCCCATATCACAATATGCTCCAAATTTGCAAAATACGTTGCTTGCCATCAGATATATACACACACTTGCACATCTTTAAAAAGTCAATCTGATATACTTAAGACAACAAGGAAAAGATGAAATAGGAAGAAAAATGTTGTCCAAAGTAGAAATGACCATTGCTAGGGGAAAAAAGTTTTTTCCCTCTCCACTGATCATGGATGAAACACTCCTTAATTTAAGGTAGAATTAAGTAATTTAAAATAAACACAAGAAATAAATATAGCAATTAGCCAACAGGCAAAAAACAATGCAGAGGGAAGCTCAGCTTGTCGCTCAAAAAACTTATTGTCCATAATGTAACCAGATAGATCCATAGATAGATCTATCCATAGAGTGCTACAGCTGCAGTATTGACTGGAGACGGTAAAAGAAAACCCAGCCCTATTTAGAATGCAAAATCTCATGTAAAAATAATTTCATCATGTCTTCAGGAAAAACAAGACATCTTTGCAACACTGATATGATTTTAATACAGCCAAATGCATTCTAAAGTCACAAATCAGGAGCAAAACACTGCAACTTAAACATATAGTATGTTATGACATTATCCTAAACTGTAACACAAATGTCATAAAAGGAACGTGAGTTCAGGTAAGATGCTATATCTCATATGAGGAAAAAAAGAAAAAGAATAAAGAAAAAGGGGACTATAAAGCAGGGACAGAAAAGTGATTCTACCTCTATTTACAGAATCAGGGAGGTATGATTGCAATACTATGTTCAATTCTAGTGTCTATCCTTGGAAAAAGGATATTGAAAAAAAAATCGAGGGCTTCAGGAAGAAATTGCTATTAAAATGACAGGGTCCAGAACAAATCTGTGATACTTCAAAGGCTCAATATACTTGATTTACTGGAGAAAGGGCTAAGAGGTGACTTCAAAACAGGCTGTATGTACATACTTAGATGTATTAGAATTGAAATCTCTACTTTAAATCGAGACTATGAGCAAATCTAAAGTAATGTGGGCAAGAGGTACAGTTTTATTTTTACAAGAAGAGGAATTCATCACAGGAATATCTTCCCTAGAGACATGAAAGATTCACATCTCACTTCACAATGATGGATCTTTTTTAGAAGATATACTAACTCAAAAAACCCTCAAAAATACAAGAACCAAAACCAAACCCGTATTTCTGAATTTGCTCAAGTAACAAATGTCAAAGAATCTGTCTTACAACTAAGTATGTCCATCACCTAGCCTTAAAACATACTCACTTGCAGCTGCTTTTTCAAAAGTTTCCGTTTAAAGCCTTCATAAAACATGAACTGTATGGCAGGATTGAAGACCAGCAGCAAGGAGGGGAAAGTACCATTCCATAAAGCTAAGACTCCTTCATCTCGTATTATCTGATGGAAGGCATCTGAGAACAAAGTTGGAAAAAAATTATTGAGATTTTAAGCAGAAAATTCTGACTGTAGAAGATAAGAAAAGTTACACTTAAAGTCTAATATTCAAAGTGTATAAAAATCCACTGCAGTCTTTTATGCGACTTTTTCTTCTAATCTGGAAGTTAGTGGGAAAACAGTGACAAAAGGAGGTTCTTTCTCACATCACCATTAACATAAACAAAGCTTATCATCTGCACAGTCACCCTGCTCTTTTTAGTACAAACTCAGCACCAACATTAAGGTCTTCTAAACCTTCTTCAAAATGACCACAATATTTATTTACTTACTTATTTTTAAAAGGAAGACAGCCTGAATATGTGGGTGGTTAAGAGATTAAGTGAAGTTTAATTTGCAGATTGCCTGTCCAAACTCAGATTCCCAGCTACCACCTCACTGGGCTCACTACTCCAGTATGTGTATGATAAGATACCTGCCTTTGCAAAAGGTATTTTAGTTACATAAATACTAACTAAAATACTAAAAACTCTTAATTACCATCAGAAATGGCCAAGTCCAGTTTCCTGTAAAACTCAATGATGGCAAAGTGACAGGGAAACACAAAGATTCCCCGGTGAAACTGGTTATGTGAATAAAAGTCTTCAAACTTCAGAGTCCTTGATATATCTAATTTAATGAACATCTCTTTGGTTGAGGACAACCAGAGGTGCTTACCTATTATGCCTTTATAATTGGTTGGTAGAATGTCTTCATTTCTAAATTTTGCTCCCTGCAGCTTCAGACGTGTGTTCACTACCCACAGAGGAGTGGTCAAAAGTACATTCACTACACCTAATGCAAAACACAGCACAAAGAAAATCAGCAAGAACCTGAAGGAGATTTCAAATGTTTTCTAATCCCCTTGCACCCCAATTCACAGGCTACTGAAATTACTTCCAGGAAGAGGGGAAAAAAATTAACACAGCATATGACAAAAGTAAACTGGTAATTTGTAATGAGTTACCGTCAGGTATTGCCCCCCACAGCCCCACCATGAATTAGTTGTCTTCCCACTGCAAGCAATCTGCTGACATTTCTGCTACTCCTCCCCAAAACTAAACTAAAAAGCCAGAACTAAAAAACAACAAAACAAAGGAAAAAACCCCACCCCAAACAACAAAGCACATGAAATATGAACATGTTGAAGGAATCTTAAGTGAACTTGCTACTTTGCTGCATACTACACCACGCTGGAATACAAGATACTCTACTTTTCATGCCCTACTTCACTCCATCATGACTTGCTGCCTGCCTACTCTCAGAAAGAAACAGAGTGATAAGGTTAGAAGGATTATTTTATAAGGAGAGATCAAAACAGATAAATGCATGCAGGTTGATTACCAGAACAGAGCTCCTACACTGCCAAAAGGATGAGAATATCTAGCTTCTAGATTCACTGGGTATGCTTAAGGTAGAAAACACAGGATTCTGCAAATATTTTAAGTAAAAGTGGCAAGAGATTACTCACAATAACAAACCCTAACAGTAAAGCTTGAAAGTTGAGTATCAGAAATTAGGATGGAGGAAGAGAAATAGACAAGCACACCTAAGGCTGCAACAAAGAGGTATTGCAAAATACAGTTCTAAACTAACAAGGAGAAGGATTAAGTAACATTACTTCTGCAATCACCTGGTACAGGTCTCTCCTGTTCAGTAATGACCGAGGCAGTTACTTTGAAATACCTATGTAAAAAACAAGCTTCTGATCTTCCTTACTAATATTTCTGCATCACAGAAATTAGCAATTGCTTCTACATTGGTTGCTTTGGTAGGAGTCTGTGTGACAGACTGAATTATTCTGTTATATTGAGATGGACACACTATATCACTATCAAGAACAGTAAATCCAAACAATCAGAAAAAACTTTACTACCTAAAATATGCCTGTTTGTTCTTTCTCTTTTCTTTTAAGAGGGTTCAGAAAAGCAGAATATAAACATAACTATATTTCATTATCCTTCATAACAACCACAGTCAGCTCTCAAAAGAAGTTTTGAGCAAAGTCAAGCACTAGAAAAGGAAAACCATATTAATCTCTCTTAACCAAAGTCAATGTGATTACATTAAGGAGCAACAGGTCAGAGCACAGTCTACTTGCAATTTTTCACCCAGACTCAGTTAGAGGAAAAAAGTCACAAAACTTTATTTTCCAGACTGGAAAGGTTTGGTTTTTTAATGTATTTTTCCAATGTGTATTTACTGACAGTAGTAGGAATGAGAGATAAGTAGGGAGAATTAGTAAACACCTTAAGTGGAATTTTTCAATTTCCACCAGATACTATTCCATTATAAGTATATAAACTACTGACACTGAAGAAGAGCTAGTCATTTAATTGACAAGATATTCCCTAATTCCTGTAGTCTTTGTTCCAGAATGCCATTATATGGAATTTTACCCCAGTGATAAAGCAAATTTAAGAATTTCCTTCCTTGTTTTGTCCCAACTATTCAGCCATTCATTATGCCTACGCTGAAAGGACAAGCAACTAGCAAAAAGTAAACAAAAAGCCTTCCCCTACCCCTCCAAGAAACAAAAAAAGTCACCAGGCCTTTTTTGCAGATTTTTTTAAATCAGCTTGTTTCAGTGTGGTTTGCACGAGCAACACACACTCCTACAGGATATTACTAGCAAACACAGTGGTAATTTTTCACACTGGATTTGCAAGAAAAGCCACTAATGTCATCATCCCTGAAAGAAGCTACTGTAGCACTCACATGAGAAGAAGGGATGAAAAAGATCATACAGTCCCACTGGACCTGGACCTATATCTAGGGACTTATTGTCACTTTCAGGTGACGACCCAAAAACAAGTCTGAAAACTGACACCCAAATGCTTACATTCAAAACTCTTACCGTAATTGAAAATATTTCAGAATTTGGCATATATCTTTTCCTCTGAAAAAACCTATTACGTCTCTCTGTCACTTCTCTTCAACATCTAAATGATGATGCTTAGACAGCATGCTAAACAACGCACCAGACACAAATAAAATACTGGACTACAACAGCACTGTGCTTTGTGCCAGAATTCACAACAGGAACAGTTTGTGCACCTACTTATGAGGTGGGGAGGACACAGAAAAGCAGAACTGTACAATGAAGCAAGTCTGCATACAGTGGAAGGTGTAAGCACTCCATGTGACCTCCAGTGGACTTCATAAAAAAAAAAATAGATGGAATATACTAAAAATACATTTTTTATGAAATTAAGATTTAAGTATTACCTGCAACAACCCCAAGAACCAAGTCTTTTCCAGTGGTTGAATGCTGACCTTTGACCCAGAGAGCTTTAAGACTATTAAATGTATAAAAATAAACAAAATTGGAGCAGCAAAGGCTGGAGATAACAGGGAACCATCCTCGATATGGTGCCAACCTAATGGAGAGGAAAAAGTCATGATAAGGATCAGCAAAGTATCTATGTGATCTGGTTGATTTTACATGTTGGCAGAGGATCCCAAAGATACAATACTGTATACTACATACAATATTAACTAGATATGTCTTTATCATTAATGGAAACAAACCATACTGAAGATCTGACTGCACCATTAAAAAAAAATTAAGCACTTATATTTATAAATTATAGTAATCAGGAATAATTCCATTGAAAAGAAGCGGTAGAGGTACAATATATTTACAGTGAGAAGCCTGAGGCTCACTCACTTCGAAAGTATTACCACCATTTGTTCTCTACCAACAACCAGCAGTGAACTACAAACATCCAGGGGATGAATATATGTTTGAAGTATGTATGTTAACATAAAGACCAATACAGTCAGTTCATATAATAAAACATACCAAGGCATGAGGAGAATTCCCAACTTTGTCGAGTTGTCAGTCCAATACAAAAGGAAACACCCCACTAAAGAGATGCTCACATTTCCAAGGAAACAATGCAATGCTTAACATAGCTGGAAAAAAATTAAAGACAACTACTCCTTCAATACAAAATTAAAAAAAAAAAAAAAATAGAGCAAGGAAAAAAAAGTCTGGATTCTCACATAAAATTTAGAAATGCAAGACCAGTCACAGTGTACACCAGTGAACATCCTCCATATCACCCAGAAAAGGATGAAAGTGCAGGGAAGAAAGCAAAGCTGTTTGATAAACTTCAACAGAAAGGTCATTAGCTAAAGCTATTTGCTTTTTCTAGATGAGAAAAGCAGTCTCACAAACATGTAATACAGGACAAGACTCTACAAACTAATGCGAACAAGATGTTTATGATCTCGCATCACATTTCAGATTTGTTGGTTGGTTGGGTTTTGGGGTTTTTTTTTGTTATTCCACATACATCTCTAAAACTAGTATCACTGCTTCACCAGGCCTTCCCAATGCCTTTGGAAGAAACAATGTTCCCCTCTTGACAGAGTAACTGATTTTTCCATTTCACAGGAAAAGTAGGATGACCACTTTTGCAGTCTATCCGCTTCAGTTAACTTCTTATTTATTTTTTTTACTTTTTTTTTTAATTGAAGTTTACTTGCCATCCTCATGTAACAAAAGTAATGGAGGAATGTGAACAAAAGAGATCAGCTGACTGAATATTCGTGCATACAACTGCCAACTGCTCAAGTTCAAAGGTGGCCAACATTATTGACCAAGCTAAACTTTTGTCAATTTTAATGACCTGGAAGCTCTGGTCTACTTAAGAGTTTCAGGGATTCACTTAGGAAGATACTTGTAATTAGGACATGCATACAACTGTTTTTCCCAGCCAGCTCAACTCAGACTTTGTGGCAAATAGTGAAGAATAGCATTGCTGAAAGTTAACTGCTTTTAGATACATCTTGAACCTCACCAGCATAAAGTCATTTGTTTACTTCCACATGTTTTGGGGGGATAAAAAACTTCCAGCTGGGAAACATCTCAATTCTCTTGTTGAAAGTGGCTCAGCTGGCCAAGAGTTTCATTTTGGTTATGAGAAATGGACACACCCAAGAATCCAGTCAGACAAAGCTGGTTTATCAGGTACATGAAGGTACGTTTGCGTACAAAACTGCATTTCTGAGGTGGCACAGCTACCTCACTAATGGAGGCACAGTTACATCACTGAACAGATCAATTGCATAAGGTGTTCATGAAAGTTAATCCAAATTATCTTAACACAAACACAAGATTATGCAATTCATATCACACTTACACAGAGACAATTTAATTCAGAGTAAAAATCTGTCCACACAGATACAGGTTAACTATTCCATTTTAAAAGCAAATTCAAATTAGTTTTTCTGCTTGTCTATATGAAGACAAGCAGAAAACTATGTACTCACAGGCCTTCTTCTTTGATTATTTCCAGTAGGACTGCTGGTGTTGTCTTAGACTTCCGCTTCTCATCAACTGGAAAACAGAAGAACCAAACTTCTAGATTATTCAGATTTTCAGCACTCATTTTCAAGCCCTTATGCTTTCTATTCTGAACATACCCCAGAAAAGCATGTTTCTTCTTCCTTGTAAAGGATAAACATTCCCTGTTTCTACAGCAATTCCAGAAAGCATCTCCTTATTTTCATTTGCTAGGTAAGGCTACATCCTTTTTTCATTCTTCTCCAGACTAGCAGATTCTGTTGTGCACTAGAGTATCTGTAGTTACCAATTTCTAACCTGATAGTTGTGACATGAACTGAAGGTAGGTTCCTCTTAGGTAACAGACTAGAACTGGGCCTGCCTAACTGCTCTCAAAATCATTCCTCAGACTCCAGGCTAGCACCACTAGCAGAGCAATCTCTTACAGCTAATCTGCAAAGAGCTAAGCCTTAGCAAAACACTGTCTCTTCCTGCATTGAAAGATGCTCAGTAGTGATATGGTGTTCATTTCTCAACCACATATTTCTGACAACCTGGCTGATGATCTTCCCTCTAGTTCTTAATAGTGCTTTAGTCACAGTGCTAAAATGCTTGGTGATTCTGTGACTTTTGATTAGGAGACAGAGCATTAGAACAAAGGTTATACCCAGATGCATTTTTGTAAATATTGGATATTCCTACTTCCAGTTCTAAACCTGACTTTTCCAGTTAAACCATTCTCAGGAATAATTCTAGACTAGTTTTTCATGATACTGCCCCTGCATTTTGAAGTGTTCTCAGCAGCCAAAAGCAACAACACACAGATCATCCTGTGTAATCTCACATCTTTATTTTTCTTTTTGGCCTTAGATAACCATTTAAAAGTCATGTCTGGCCACAGATCACACAGCCTTTTCAGCAAATTAAGAGGTTGCCCAACACCTTCAAAAGTGAGAATTACTTTCAGATGGTAAAATGGTGTTAGTGATTAAACGGTGGTAGCGTTACACAGATAAGATTCCTGTTCATGCAAGATAGGTCCCTCTACAACCACCCTTACAAGTGCCCAAGCCAAGATGAACAGAAACACCATCGTACAAGGAAACTAGAGTTTGACACTTACCCTGAAGTCTAAGCCTAGCTGTATCCAATGGAAAAAATACAGTCATTGCAGTCATACTGCCCTGAAAAACAAAATAAACTGGCTATATAGGGTATCAGTTGCTTGTACAGATGTCTGCCAGACCCTTCATAGTCCTTCACTTCTCACGCAGTAACCAGTCTACTGTGTAAGTTTAAAAAGGGGATAAACGCCGTACATAATATCTGTTTGAAGTGTTTTTTGGTCCCATGCTTACAAACAAGGTTTTTCTTCTGGTTTTAATTTTAGCTTGATCTAATACCATTAGAAGATTTTTGCCCAAAGAGAAAGTTTTTGAAGTCTGAGAGCTAATAAAGTGGGCATCAGGAGACAAACATTGCACTTTCTCTACTTCCCATTAGCCTCAGTACCCCATTTCAAGTTTAAAAAAAAAAAAAAGATGACAACTACGACACAAGCAACCGCTGTGTTACAATAACCTTGTTTTGACTTAACAAAAGTTTCTGCTTTTCTTTTTCTTCATTAAAAAACACATAGTACATGTTTTTCAGGGCTTAATCTAGTATCATACCAAATCCCAAATTAGGCAATAAAGATCCACCTATCAAGAAACCCCCTGTGGAATGAATTACATATGATGAATTAAATCATGACCTAGATGTTACCAGAGTCTCTCCTTGTGAACTCAACACCCTCTTCACTTCCTGTGCGATCCAACCATTAAAGCCTCTAAATGGAAAAACCAGCAGCCACTCTCCTTTACAACAGGGTTAAATATGTATTTGCAAATACCCTTATCTGCCATACAAGCAGCTGTTCCCTCTCTCTCCCTGTCATCATTCAGCTTCTTCATTCTTTAGTACTCTAGCATTAATATTGCACAGCTTTTGGAAAAGACACCTAACTCAAAAAGACCATGGCTTGGTTTAAACCTGTTAGCACTCTACAGTAGTATTAAACGCATTATGTGGCTGCTAAAGCTGTGGCACTCTTCCATTAGTAGCCATGCAAACTGTCTGAATGGTGGGAAGGTCTAGGACACAGCAAGTCACACAAGCACTGTGTTTAAAGCATGCTGCATGGTGCCGCTTGAACTTTTCTAGAGCTATGTTACGCCATACATTTAAGCGAGCTTTGCCTCTGGAAACACTCCAGCTCCTGAGCAGGCTGTTTGGACCTACCTCTACAAGTGGCAATGGAAGATTATTTTTTAGGCGGTGTTTCCCCACTAAGACAACTCTTGGTTGAAGTCTTAACAAGATTTCAGTTTCTCCAGTTTTCGTAACACCAGGTACCAGATGAAAGGAAACACTTGGCCACAATTACCTGGTTATTTTAACCCATTTAGTTTGCACTCTAGCCAAAAGGGTGGGTTCTGCTCTCCCACATACTTGTCCTGTGTCTATTCATTCTGGGTACCTACTACATACACAGATGGACAGCAACTAGGATTAATGAACCCATCTGACTAAAAATTTACAAAAAATAAACTTCAGTTTCTAACTGAAACTGGCTAGTGCCAGCACAAAAAGAAGTGCCAGGAAGAGCCGACAGCTGCATTACAGCAACTCTGAGGCCAACCTCAAAACACAGTTACACACACCCTATGCACAAAAAAGTCACAAGACTGCACAGTCACTACAAGTTGCAGCCTTGCCCTGCTCAACTTACCTCGCTTCCATCCTCCCAAAGTGCGATTTATCCTGAATCTTAATCTCAATGCAATCCACCATACAGCCACACACACACTTGCACTCGAAATCAGAAAATGGAAATGGGGAAATAGCTGGTGTAGTGGCACACAGGACAAATGGGTGGATACAAGGTACAGGATAGAATATTTCAGTTGGATCTACAACAATCATCTAGTCCCACTGCCTGACCACTTCAGGGCTGACCAAAAGTTAAAGCATTTTATTAAGGGCATTGTCCAAATGCTTCTTAAACACTGACAGGGATGGGGCATCTAGGAAGCCCGTTCCAGTGCTTGGCCACCCTCTCGGTAAATAAATGCTTCCTAATGTGAAGTCTGAACCTCCCCTGATACAGCTTTGAATCATTCCCATGCAATGAGCCTTACAGGCTCAAATTGGCTTAAAACCTATAGGAAGCTATAGCTCAACAGAATGTCATGAGGTAACTCAGCTAATCCAAGGTTACTGCCAATAAAAGATAATTTGTACCTTCTCGCCTCCTTTTGCTAAATTGAGGGAAATAAACTCAGAAAAGCAGAGTTATTTTTCTCGTGCATTTATATATGGAACAATTTAGCCACGTGCCGAAGAGACTGCCAGAAGCATCACATGGAGGAGACAGGATTTCATGGCTAGAAGCAAGGAAAGGAGACGGATGAGCAGGACCAGCCCTTCCCCCAGCAACAAAACCCCTTGAGATGGGCTCAGATTCCTTACCGAATCACACTTGAGACCAGCTGGGAAAGTAACTCATATTACTGACTGCAGGAACATATGCTGAAATGTATGACCCTGTACTGTTGAAAGGGTGAGGCTTCACTGCCTGCCTGCCCACCACCTCTCTGTCAGAGCTGAATCTCAGTAGTTCACCAAGTCAAGTCATGCTATCACTGAATAATCGCTAGAACGGGTACAAACTGGCTTAAGCAATCCCAGCTCTTGGTCAACTGTATTTGCATCCCTGCCTCCTCCGTTCTAGTGGTATAACTTTTTGGGCATCTACATGATGATGCCCATGGAACTAAACTGGCTGAAAAAACAAACTTTTTCCACTAGGGTACTTCTTCAGTCTGATCAGTTCCCTGATCAGCTGCAGCACCACATAAGCAACCATGCAGTAGCCAAGAGATGGCAGTAACTGGCCAGAACAAATGGCCTGAAGTGACTGCTGCCAAGAAGCAGCATGCAGGACCACAGCCTTGAGTCTGGTTTTCTAAAAAATAATAATAAGCATAAAATATTAAAAAAAAAAAATGTCAGTCAACATTCAGAGTCAAACAAAGCAACTTGACTACTCCTATAAAATTCTCATTCCTATAGCTTTTGTAACAGGAAGGTGACTTTATAGCTCTATGCAGATGTGATTAAAGTTCACAGGAAATCAAGCACTGATTTTTTTGCTGCTCACAAAACTATTCATTTGTCTCAGGTTTGACTAGGTAGCCTAGAAGACATATGAACTTTCACCATATTAGAACAGAAACAGAAATTATCATGTTGTGATCTGACATGTTCTTCTGACTCATTACATTAGCACAGTTCTGTGGGTTGCTTTTTTTTTTTTTAATTCTTGCATCACACCTGCACATCAGCATGCTTTATAATAATGTAGACAAGCGGTGAGACGGTATCAGAACAGTTAGTACCCATGTCAAAGACTTTGTCAAAATTTACATACTACAGCAGCAAACAGAAATTTCTAAATTGATGAGTACATCTTCACTAGAACAAAAAAAAAAAAAAAAAAAAAAAAGTCAAGGTTTCCAGCATAAGGCAGTTAAAAATCAAACAAAAGAAAAGAGCCACCCCATTTTAGGGAAATTCTTACTCCAGAGCTTTAAATTGTACATGAATATTAGTGACAGCAAGTAAAGTCACAAGGGTACAGAATTCCAATAGCTCCAAAAAGTTCTGTCTTCCTTCATAGCAATATCACTGCTGAGATATAAGCATCTTCAAATACAACAGGGAATTTCTAATAACTTAATTAATACCACCAAGGGACTTGAGAAACCATTTCATTACACATTTAAGTTTATGGCTGGATTTAAAAGTTCGGTTCATACAACAACCTTTGTTCAGGAGCATGGCCTGATTATAGCGATCTGTATAGGAAAGTGTGAAGCTAATAGTGAGGGATAGAGAATACTACCAACTTCTGTACAAGCCAGCAAAAGGAGACTGAGCAGTATTTCAATAACAAGATCATTTGACAGAGTTCCATTTCTTCAAGGTGGAAACAAAAACCCCACTGCCTTTGATACTTAAATAAGCAGCCTTAAAACATTTTAAAGAGCAGACAATAATCCCATGTTTATTTATCAAAAAGACAAAACATCCTTTAGAGTCTTTTTTTTTTCCTTTTGGAATCAGCCTTTATTGTTCAATAACATTCAGTGACTTTCATCCCATAGAAGACACTGCAAGTTCTTTTAAGGACTCACATTAGAACAGCAAATTTTGCCAGAACAGTCAATCAGCAATTCCTAATACACACAATTAGGTCTTCTTGCCAGTCTGGAATAACCCAGGAGTACAGCTGCATCAGCTTGCTTGAAATCCATCAGTATGCCCAGTCCAGCATGCTACATTGCTCTAAAATTCTTAATTTGTTCGAAGTACAAGGCTGATTTGCTATTTACAGAGCTAGCACTCACTCATTCCAGGGCTGGGCATACTAAGAAATCTACAGGAACTAAAACCTACTTTTTCATTTACAAGTGTCATACGAAAATTTAATTCAGTAACCTGTAGAAACCTCTTCTAGCTGCACCGTGCTTGCTTTATGTTTCGATTAACAACTATGCATTGCCTCACAACTAAGTATTTATGAGACAACTGCAGAATGAGGATGCTTAGTACAACTCAGATTACACAACTGAAGTGTCGTCCCTCTAGTTTAACTTCTGGGAGGCTTAAATTTTCGTACTTGGTTTGACGCCCAACTTCAGACGCTTACATGCTCCCTTTCTAAGGGAGCACACCTGCAGCTCCTGTTGGGCTCAGAGGAAGCTCCAGCTGCTCAGGACGAGAGCCAGCCTCAAGGTTTATCAAATCCCACATCCAAAACCAGCGACAAGCAAAACGAGGGCTTGGCAAGCGTGCTCGCACGGGATGGGTGGCGGAGCTGAGACTCGGTGTGAGGGAGCCCTCGCCCCAAACCCTCTTCTTGTGACCGTGAAGTGCTTAAGCACGACCAGGCGCGGGTCGCGCCTCAGCACAACAACCAAGTTACCACAGCCCCG